TAAAAATAAAAATAAAATGCAATACCAGGCCTGATTTGTTAGAGCTTTTCGAATCATAATAAATTATTTTGAACAAAGCCTATTTTTTAGTATATAAAATAATTAGAAAGTCAAGCAAACAAGGAGAATTTCATGCTTAATCAGTAAATAGACTTTTAAAACGTTGAGGATTATCCCACCCTTTCATAATAACAGTGAAGTTCACAAAAAAGTACGGTTAATGAATTTTAATAAAGTGAGCATATACATGTGTAATTCCCCCAGCGCATCATGCTGGAGAACTCAATGAATTAAAAGGATGACGTAACGACCAAAGTTGGAAAAAACGACGCGCTTATGATCCACAAGGCAAGGAAACATTAGCAATGTTTTCCTTCAATAAAACGAATATATGAATTAAAATTCAGGAGTATGAAACGGGCAAAAATCCACCTAGGAAGTTCTCCATGTTTATTGCTATATATTTTGTATTATGCAGTTATTTACTATTTGAGGGCCTCCTGTGATAAAAACATAAAATCATTCAGCTAAATGATTAATTCTGGAGTTCTGACTATTCAGCATAACCATATACACATGCATGGATTACATGTACCGCAGCAAGTCATGGTGGACTAATATGAATGAAAATAATAAAGATCCATCAGAAACCCAACCTTTCGAAAGTGAGAATTGGTTCATCAGTGAGACTTCTGTAGTGAGTAGTAGACCTCTGTGGCTTCAGAGGCGCATTGCCAATCATTCGATCAAAAAAGGCGAAACCAAGAAGAAAACAGAATAACAGGAAGAAATGGTTCCGCAGAAAACCAGAAACAAACTGAAGGGCGGCAAATCTAGCAGCACTAGTTACTGGTAAATGAGCTTGTCGTGGGTCAGCGTGAGGATTTGGCCTTTGTGCCCGACTGGTGCATATGTTCGCTTGATTGAGTGGAATGCAGCTTGATTGCGAAGCAGCAAGCATTGGCACTGTGGAATTGACTGGAGAAGCGTGATAACGATAGAGAAAAGGAAGAAAAATGTTTAAA